AGAAAAAAAAAATGAATGTTGTAAACCAGACATTTTGAACCCAGGGGTCATAAACCCAATCACTTTGCCCTACCCGATTGTTACTGGATGAGAAGTTCCAGGCAAACAATACATTTTTCTTCTTTGATTGATTTGCACATTGTGCAAGTTGGTGAAGAGAGAAAAGGAAACCTATTTTGGGTCGACTACAATATCCGTTTCAACAAAATTAGAAGTCTTTTTAGAACATTTTTGAATTTCCTGAAGTTAAATAAAGTTCTGAAATGAAAAGCAAGCTCAAAGAAAGAGAAGCAGAACAACAAAAAATAACATTTGCAAAATGTCAATAGAAAGTATTTGGATTTCTCTCCAGGGGTCTTTGTTCTGAAATAATCTGGTCAAATCAGGAAAGAGTCATGATTCGCATCAGAGTTAGCAAGTCTTAACTATGTGCAAAAATATATGAAATGTATTAAAGGGTCTCCCAGGCAGTACATATGCAAAACAACAGCCCATCTCAGAACCAGCAGGAGAACAGTTTCCTTCAAACAGTCCAGATAAAGCAGCTGTAGCTTTATAGAAGAGCTACATCTTCAGAAGAGGGAAGACTGGTGGGGGGAAAAGGGGCAGGAGTACTAGGGTTCCACAGGTTTCTCCCATGCATGTTGTTTAGGAGAACACAGGCCACTGGGCATAGTAACAGTTAACTGGCAACACTGCCCTTTATTCCCAAGGAGTCTGCATCAGCCCCTGCAGATCCTAAAATGCTGGACCTTGAACAAAGTGCCAGATACTGAAATTATAAGCTGCTGAAACATAACAGAGCTTCCTTACCTTGCCTTTCCAGACATTTCTCTTGGAAAYAGGCAAAGTCCCATACCTCTTTGCAATCCTTTGTCCTTTTTTTTTCTTTTTTTGCAAGGCTTCATCCTTTTTTTTTTTTTGCGCAAGGCTTTGTCTCTCAGGAAGTCCTAAATTATTTGCCACACTAACCATCACACACCTTCTGGGCCACAGACAGCTTGCAAAACACTTACTGGAATTTGAGTCTAAACTCATTGCAACTTTAGACCTACAGAGGTTTGTTGGCCTCATCCCCCCCAACACCATGAGATCTCTACATTCACGCTACATATATATGCATATGTATTCATAGCGGAAAGCTGTTAAATTAGCCCAGGTATTTTCTGCAGCCTTGTTTGCATATACCACTGCTCTTTCACATGTGCTGTGTACTGTTGCCACAACATGCAGTGCTGCATTGCAAACAGTATTTCCATAGCACATGCTGCAGAATTCCAAAACTGGCTGCAACTGAGTTTGCAACAGAATCTTCTTAGATGTGCCCCACCTGAGACAATCCATACTAAATAGCCTATGAGCTCCACTTTGAGCAATTCAGATTTGCATGATTTCTAAGGAGGTCTCATACCAAGGTTAGGACAGATGCATGCAAGGCAGTACCCCAGAGTCCTTGCACCTTGGCTCATTACCAAAAATCTGTCCAGTTGTTTTAGTGTGGAGACCCCACTGAACAGGAAGCATTTACCCTGCTTTGACCGCAGCAGAAAATGACAAGTCCCCTAACTCACTGTCCCCTCTAGCTTGGTGATGACAAGTCCTTCAGCCAAAGAGAGGGACAGTCACCAGCTAGGGCTCACATGGTGGTTAYGTGTTCAGCACACGAGAACATTCTGCAGCCAACCCCGAAGTCACACAACACTAATGAAGTCCCACAGGTCTTCAGCAGAGACACTAACACCAGGCCTGGCAGCATGAGCCCAGCTACAGGGCAACACCCATAGCATTTAGCTAAAACCACCTTGCAAATATCTGCCATTCTTCTACAGATTGGATTTCCCTGCTTGTGCTGCAACCCCTGAGGAAATACACTTCAGTCTGGAGCAGGTTGTCCAAGTGACAGAGCACAGAAGAATTCAAGAACTGCAGCAAGCGGCACAAAGGCTGAGCAGGAATGATCAAAGCAGCACCTGCAGGGAGGCTATCGGGCACACACCATGTAATGTGTGGGCAGGTAAAACAGCCAACACCAGGAGCTTTGGAAACGGATACCCGCTGTCAGCCAGAAAGTTCAGGTACCAAGCACTCAAATCCCCAGAGCCTGGAGGTCTGTCTCTCTGCCCGGAATAACAATGTACAAAATGACTTGCTGCCTTTGGTTACTGGTATCGTCAAGTAACAACTCCCTGTTATCATAGTAAAGCACAGAAAGAACAGGAGGGAATAAAGGAAACAATAGAGACACACACAAAAAGCATAGCGCAAAAAAAAAAAAAAAAAAAAAGAAAAACCCAAAGCTGCTCAGTAAAGGACTCCAACAAAATCCAGCCAGACTAAGCAATCACTGCACATAAATGTGATTTTTCATGTACGTCTGGTACTGTGCAATGCAGAGATCCTTTTTTGTTCTGTCTTCCAATCGTCTGCATTCCTCTTAAGCATAGGAGAAGGGAGGGGAAAACCAAGAGTGCCCCCACATCTCAGTTGTTAGACGATAATCTTTGCACTCTCTGCTTACAGTCTTCTGTTTTACCACGGAGCTGATTTTGTAAGGAGCTAAATTATGCACAGGAATCAATGAAGGCTGCTGCAGCATTTCCAGCTGCTGCAGGGAAAGATTGCTGCTGCCACCTGCAGTCTAACCTCCAGAGACAGCTCTCTTCCCAAACACCTGGGTCAAGTGGGTGGGATGTACCGGGCTAACAAGGTGACATCTCTGCAAAAGACAGGCTTGTAAAGGTTGCCAGGTAGCCAGGATCCTGCCAGTTCAACAGTACATACCATCTTTTGATGCTATTCACCGAGAAACGCTTTGCTAGCTACAGGAACCACCAACCCAAGAGAAATTAAAGCAGATATGTTCTTTGTAAGTGGATAACAGAGGTCTTTGAAGAGAACAAGGTAGCAGAGATCACAATGTCTGGAAGGGATATTGGCTTTATTTTGATCCCACACAAAAATAAAAGCCAGAGCCTCAGAACGTGAATATAGCTGTTCTAAGAGTCTCTGTGCAATGGCATTTCCTCAGTAAGGATAACATCTCAGTTTTGTGCAAAACAGGCAATTTGAATCAGAGAAAAGATGTGTAATTAATACGCAAGCACAGATGGGATATATGGCAATCCTCCCAAAGTCAGAGGTAATGTTAGGCATATACTTCACTATAAGAGGAGAACTTCATCTGAGGAGACAGATATCCACACCCTATGAGTGCAACTATTTTTCCATGTTCCAGCTTTTTGCTTTCTTTGTGCAATCTTGCCCAGTGCTATTTTACTACTAAAAGCATCAGTTCTCTCACTAGGATATCGAACTCAGACATAAATAGCTCTGTCTTAAAAACAACCAAACAAGCAAAACCCCAAACCCCACGCTACAACAAGTCTGCAGTTAGACACACAGCTGTAAACCTCAGACCTCTGAAATACAGGAAAAAAATGCCAGGAAAAGTGGGAATTGAAAAGCTGTCAACATGCAAACCTTGCCTGGATGCCTGTCCTGCTCTAAGGAAATACAGCAACAGGGCTCTCTCCCCAAAATCCCTGTATAAAAAAGAAATTAACATAGTAGCAAGGGCCATTTGTTAATTAGGGCGACTAACAGTAAGTTTAAACAGCTGCAGAACATCCACTCGGATTCTCTACTTAAATCAAACTTTAATTTAAAAGCAAATGAAACCTATATCCAGTTATTATGCCAAGATATTTATGAATTGGAAAACCTGGGCAGGAGTTAATAATGGGAGTCAGGACCCCAAGCTCTGTGCACAAAATGGAAACACTCTTCCAGTGCTTCGACTTGTATTTCAATGTTACTTTGCTGCTGAACTTCTAGCGACTTCAGCTAGAAATCCATCACCTAAATAAAATTTGAGAGTCTGAACCTGAGAGCTTAAGCATAAAAATATACTGCAGAGGAACATTTAAAAACCATGCATAATATTAGTTGTTTGATAAAAGGTAGGTATAATAGTGCTGTAATCTCTCATTACTGCACTACTCTATTTCAGTCCTATAACTTCACACATGGCTGTAATCATATTTCTCCTGTGAGTTATAGCTTAAAAAGAAAGATTTCTCCCTATTTTGCCACAATAATGACCACTTCCCAAAAATTATCTGCTGGCCAGATTTAATACATGTACAACTTGTGCAGCTCAGCTCTCTAAGAGAATTTTTAAAAAGCATCTACCGATTTTCAAGGAATTTATATCTGCAAATGAAAGCTCAAGAATGTGTCTCTTTAAAAGACGCCTTATTCTCCTTTTAAAGCAGAAAAAGATCTTTGAAACCTTTTGGGCTACTTATGCATGAAAATAAATCCATGTGAAAGAGAAGATCGAGCCCCGAATGTTAACATATTGTAGTATCAATTATAATATTTGCCATGCGGTGAATTAGAAGTTAGCAACCGTTTATAGTACGATTCCAGTAAACATTATTGCCTTTCCCAGCATACATACCCACCCACGCGATTAATCAGTCAGAGAAATACTCTTCCTAAATAAATGCAAGTTTCTTAAATTACCTCGCAGAGGCAGCTTTGCCTTACCGGCTGCATGCACTATGTGTTATAGCAAATGATTCCCCACACACACAGCCCAGAAAGGCTGTCGATCTGATAACCTGATGCTCGCCGTGCAAACACCTTCCCTATTCCCTTAGCTACTGCATGGGAATTCCTTGTTCCAGGGAGTGATAGTTTGCCCTGCGTTTGGAGGCCACGCAGAGGTGTCCAGGGAAGGGGATACCCRCATCCTAACACTCTCCAAGGGCTGCATGACAGCCTCATCACCAAGCAGAGGCTTCCACAGGGACTCGCCATGGGGCACAGTTAGGTTTAGCAGATCTAACACCACGGGGCAGTTAATGGCAGCCMAAACCACATTCTCAAGTTGGCTAAGGACACCCAGCTTGGGCTGCAACCCCTCAGTCTTCACCAGAYGTGACCCCCTCCACAAGCATTAAATGTTCTCGCGCGAGTAACTTAAAAGAACAAACCTGGATATATCATTAGCCACAAACAGAAGCAGAGAGCCGCACTCCATACGGACTGCCCGGGCTGCCTGGTCCTCCCGACCCCGCCACTGGACCCGCCGCCTCCAACGCGCTCGACCGTTACCCGCCGCGCTGAGAGACCGTTACTGATCACGTGGCCTGCCTCGAGCGCACGACCTCCCTCCTCGGGCTGGTCACGTGACAGGCGCGTTAACCGCCGCGCGTGGCCGTTACTGGTCACGTGACAGGCGCGTTAACCGCCGCGCGTGGCCGTTACTGGTCACGTGACACGAGCGTTAGTCGCGCCTCGCTCAGGCGAGAGAGGGAAGGGGAGAGTCCCGAAATTCCCACCTGGAAAAGACTGGTTCATCTCCCCGGTTAGAAAAGTCAGCATGRCTAGAGCATCCCAGAGCTCTCCCATCCATCTTGAGCCCCTTCCAACTTGAGATCCTCTGTTCTTTTATCAAGTTTTCACAAATACAAGTGAAATGTTTTAACCTGTTGAGGAAATGGAGCCTCCAAGCACTAAAGGTGCTTTTGCTACCTGCAGCTGAGAAGCCCAGCTGCTCTTGTGAAGGTTGTCACTGCTCCTTACGAGGTCTCTTGRGGGTCCTGGCTCACATATGGAGGAAACAAAGCAGTGAGACTCATATTCTGATCCATGTCAGCTTATTTTCTGGATAATTCTGGATGTTTTTAGTCTGGGAGACTAAAGTGTAAAGCCAGAATCCAGGGAAAAGAGAATGATTATAACAATCATAGGTCTTCCTACTACAAATATGAACTCTGAGAATTACAGATAACTACACAGTGTCCGGCAGAGGGGAATGTGTTATCTGCGCCTGCCAGGGGCTGCTCATCCCCTGTGACATCCCACAGTGTGGTCACAGGGTTGTGTTTGGGAAGAAAGGCTTTCTCCCACTCCAGAGACGAGCTTCCCCGTTCCTCCCGCTTCCAGGAAGGGGAAACCAATCTGCGAGGCTAGGTGGCCTCAGAAACTGGGCAGGGGAATGAAAAGCAGCCAGTCACAGCAGCCCAGGGTCTCTAAGATTTAAGTCACTGAGTGTTAGTTAAAGATAAGACCCTTCAAAGACTTTGTTTTATTCTGTTTCTTTACAAGCAAGTTGGCTGGAGCCAGTGGTGTGAATTCACAGAGAGAGATGCTCTTTCCTAAGGCCAATATTGCCTGCCCAGCTGATCCCCTAATTCTGTTGAGGTCCAGCATTTCATTATGCCTCTCAGCAGACCTGACCTTGCAGGAATCTTTTCCTGGCGTGAACTGCAGAGAAACTATGATGAGACGGTATTAGAGTCTTTCAAAGGAGACAAGAGGCGCAAGGGTTTTCCAGCATTTGCTTTCTATTCAGTGATAAAGGGATGACAAACTGCCAGGCTTCCATAAAGCTCTGTTTGTTAATGATGTAGAAAGGCAAAGTCTGGTTACAGATACGTGCTGCCGTGCTGAAGGAAGTTCTAGTGGCTTCTGTGAGAGAAAACATAGAAACTTAATCCTAATTATATGCTAACTAATTAAAAGATTTTTTTTCCTCATTCCTGCGTATTGCAGATGAGGGTGGAAGACTACAAGGGGATTAATATAGGAAGGAAGATAAAGTAGGGAAAAGAAAAACCCACACATTTTTCCAAGCGATGAGTTTGCTACAAGCAGGTTAAACCAGATGAAGAGAGAAATGTCAGTAATTGACCCTGACAGAAAGCCCTAATTTTGGCAGCAGAAGACACAAGTTGTACATGCGAGGGGAAGGGAACGGTTTGCACAGCAAGGTCACGGTGTGCAAGCCACAACCCAGCAGCAGAGCGCCGTCTCTTGCCCCCTCCCTCGACTTCTTCAGCCCATTTCTTAGTCCCAGAGGTAGATATGGGGCCCCAGGTTCTTCGAAACAGGAGTGGGGATTCTCAGCAGCTGGTACCTTTTCAGGAGCTTGGCGCCTCTGAAAAGCAAGCGCCAAGGAAATCCTGGAATTAAGGCAGACATCTGCCCTGAGGGATGAGCACAAAATGAAGTTACTTTATCCCAAGGCAAGTGCTTAGTAGAGATTTTCCATCTGTCCTTGATTTAATGCATGCTGTTTCCTTGAAAGTATCAACACAAGTAGAACCTGAGTCCGTCTCCAGGTTTTAAAAGCCTTTTGATATATCAGTCCTTAAAGCTGGAACTTGCTGTCTGAAGGAGTCCCTATAGAACATATCTGATGTGTACAACACACCTGCTTTGAAAGATGCCTCCGGCAGTGTCCCCCAAAGCAACCCTGGACGGATCCACTGCTCCTCTCAGTCCGCATAGCAACCCACAGACTCTAGAATCAGCCTAGCCATGCTTTGCCCTCCTGACAAAGCCCAGGTTTTGCAAATGAACGCACACAAATGACATTTTTGGCTCACTATCTCCATCAGTGTACTCCAGAGACCCAGCGTCAGCTCAAAAAGCATGCACAGCATTGGCCAGACCCACAGCAAACCCATCAAGAGGAGGGAGTTGAAACCCATCAGCTTCAGGGGGATGGAGAAGCCCCGCTTGGGTCTCATGTGCTCGTAYGCGCTGTCTTTTGCTGAGGGATTCGTCACATGGGCGTGTGACCAGCTGAAAATTAGATGTCCAGCCCAAACTAATCCTCCAGGCTGTGAGACACAGTATTTCCAACGGCAGCTTCTTCACTTGGGAGCTGTTGGGTTGCTCTCTGGAGCTAGCTCTATCAGGAGGAGCCAAGGCAGCTCTGACCAGAGAGCAGCTGTTAGGCTAGCATGAGGTGGGATAAATATCACTCTTATTGTCCAGAAAATCTCTCTGCCAAGAACCGAATGTCACAAAGACAGAGGAGCCCTAAAACTTCATTTGAATAAAGGGAGAGTCCACATAGGGTCTCTCCAATTACAGGAAGCTGCAGCCTCCTTTTATTCTAACTTCCCAACCGAGGTATGCCCTCTTCTTTTCCCCGTTGGCCAAGGTACTGAGAAGTTACAGACTTCCCAGCCAACATATGTTGCTCCTTGATATGTTCCCACTCCCTGGTCATACATCGCATGTCTAATTAAAGTGACTTTATGCCTCCGCTGGGTATGAAAGTTAATATGCATTAGCTCATTACACTTGTGCCTACTCTACTAAGGTTCATTCTGTGGTCGTTTGTTGATAAGGATCTGTCTTCCCCTCTCCTGTTTTCCCCGAGGTCAACAATACCCAATCACATACATATAGCACAATCTCCCTGCCTGCACTCCCTGCTTCTGTCCACCAAAGAATGTGGAGATTTCACACATTTCTAAAGACACAGGCTCTTTGTTTCGCTCATCATCTTTACATTAAACATAATGGAGCTCCTAGCTTATTCATCAGATAGTCCCTCTGCTGCCCTTGCAGTCTCAGCTGTGTTTGCCGACCCCAGTCCAAACCATACAGAAGTTCAAGAGGAGACTCATTCCAGTTGACATCGCTTGTCCATAGGTCAGAAGTGTAATTAAAATGGGTCAAAATTTGGAGTCACTTCACCCACGTAAATCTGAGATTTCGAAAGTTAGAGTTCGCCCAAAGCAGGTCAGAGACAAATCTCCATTTTTTTCCTCACCAAGAAAACTACTCAAACAATATTTTCCTTTGACCTTGGAGTGTTTTAATAAGGCTGAAACAATCYATGCTAACTGAGATTGAAATGTTTCATTTCAACGTTATTGCTCCACTTCTTACATGATACGATGTGAATAGAGAATAGCAATTTTATGAATGGTTTCAATAATGTCCCACAAAAGTGTGCCAAAAATCAATTCCTGAACAGAGTACTTTTTCTTTAGAAAATATCCCTGCCGTCCTAAGGACAGGTTGTCTCGAGCGGGTGAGTTTGGGGACGCCCTTAGAGCCTGGAGCTTCGGGCGCGCTCGGCTTGTGTGCGACGATGAGACTGGCTGCATGCGCTAGCAGAGTCCCCATCCGTCGCAGCAGCTCCTGATGCTGCTGCAGCAGGGGCAAAAAAAGCATCTCTGAGTTCAAAGCAGAAGCACTGGCTTCATCAGGACAGGATTTCGCCGCAGCTGCCTGCCTGGGTCCAGCAAGCCTGGGAGATGCAAGATGTGCAGTCTCSTTCAAGGGGCCAGTGGATGCAGCTGTGAAGAGGGAGGAGATTTTCAGCGCCTGGATCCTCTCCTTAGAAATCCTGCAAAGCGCCTCGTGCTCGGCGGCACTGGCCCTGCAAGCAGGGTGACAGCCTCTGAGCAGGTTCCCGTCTCCTCAACACCGGCTGCTTCTTTGGAACYGTTTGCCCAGAAAGGCTGTGGAATCTCCTTCTCTGGAGATCTTCAAAACCCACCTGGACTCAGCCCTGTGCCCTGTGCTCTAGGTGACCCTGCGTGTGCAGGGAGGTTGGACTAGAGGATCTCTAAAGGTCCCTTCCAACCTTAAGGATTCTATGATTCTATGATTCATGGTTGTTTCCAGCATAACTAGACCTTACTATGAAGCAGGATGTAACCATTCGTGGTTAATCTTTAACCAGGAACAGCCAATTAGGATGGGAAGCTCAAGAMTTTTGTGCATGACTCTTAGTGATGACACTTAAATGAACATCTGCAGGTGGCCACTCCAGTCTAGCCCTGAGCAAACCTGCTCCCAGGCAGCATCTCTCCTCAGCAGGTGTATTCTTTCCTCCTACTTTTAATTCTCCATCTCTGTTCTCCTTCTTTGCAGAAAGCCTCATGCCACCTCCTGGAAGAAGCTGCAATTGCTGCAGTGGCTGCAGAAGGAAAAAAATGGAGAGATGCAGGAGTCTGGTGCAAAGCTCTCCGGATTTGGGAATAACAGGGAGTTTACACAAACCTGGTCCTAGGTTGAGATGGGGTCCCAGCCCTTACGCTGCAGTGATCGGACACGGGGGCTGTGTGTGAAAAACAGAACAGGGTTTTAATAGTGCCAAGAGAACTGGATTTAGGTGCTTTCCTCGAGCCCTTTTTTTTTTCCTTCGGGTTTTTCTTTTTAAGGACTACGTAGTATGAAAATTTAGCTAAAGGACCGGGAATGAATGAAATCAAACGAGATGTTCATGT